GGCTGAAAGCCGTAACTCGAAGTTCAATATTTATCGTTCGATCGGCCCCGGAAAAAAATAACACTTCACGAAATGTCGGGTCGATTTCATCTTCGGTACGGCATAGCTGGGGGAAAAGGTCAGGTGCTTTTTTTTGAGAAAGCACTCCAGCCATAATCCGCTGTACGTTCATTCTTTTTTCTTTCTTCGGTCAACGAGGACGTCGTCGAAAAACGCTTGAAAGGCTAACGTTAAATAAACATTTCCTGAAGGGGAACTTTTTGACATCGACACTGACACGCTCGCGTGCGATTCACCGTTTTCAAGATGGATGGTTTACGATAGTACAATAATAGCGTTTAAACGATATAGTGATAGGATCTTCTGACCGTTGTTCGTTCTCATTCACTTGATGGTTGTGCTTCGTATTTATAAGTTATACTTAACTCTTTTCATTGGCGTTTTTGCTTGCGAATTGCTTTATTTAGGTTTTATTATTTGTTAATAAATATTCTATTTTTGTCAACAATAAATATAAATATGGAAAATGAGCATGAGGATAATACGAAAATATTGAACAGTTGAATTGGTAAATAAATTTTTCTATGATTCTGCTTCAGAAACAAAGATATTATGATTAAAGAAAAACAGCATGAGATAGCATTATTTTAAAATATACATATGCAGTTAAAAAAAGCTTCTTATTGTTAGAATGAACATATTCTTTTATTCTTTGGTACGTTCAAAACTTAATGTGCGAGGGAAAATGATTAAAAATGGGAAGCAACTCTGAAAGACGTCTCTTTAAACAAAAACGAACACTTTCATTTTGAATTAAGAACCCACAACTGTACACGAAATACAAATGATAAGGTTTAATTAATTAAACATTGATTGCGTAGATTTTCGCAAAATCGCGCGATTCGCGTGAAAGTTACTGTAAAATGGTCGAAATAAGAATGAGAAACGGGGACCGAGCCAACGGAGGCGGATCGACGAAACTCGGAAAGAGATTTCTCGAGGAATCAACGGTGATTTTTGCTGGAGCTGCACACGAGGCGCGTATGCAAAGAGGCCGAGACGGGCTCATAACGTATGTATCTCGCTTTCTATCGGAGCCCCTGGAACCATATTAGTGCATCCTGTATTGCGCAAACTACAACGGCCGCCTGCAGTCCGGCTCCATATTAGTCGGCACGCCGCATCCGTGTCTGCTCATTAATTGGAACATTTCTGCGTAATATTATATTATTATTCCGACTTGTTCATCACAACGATTGTAATATATGTGTAATAAAGAGATTACGCCAAGTTATTTTTTAGGATTTTAACGTTCGTCGGTTAATTCAATCTTGATATTTGGAGTGTTATTAACTTAAAATATTATACTGATAACATAACGCCGGCATTCGCTTCTCTTTTCGTAGTAATTACTTATTTTGCTTCGAAAGATAATTTTACTTCGGAAAATAGAATAGTATCAAATGCAGTTTAGTATATCAGAGTACAAATTTTTATAATGGAATAATGGGAAATGTAAAGTAAAGGGAAAGAATTAATATTAAAGAACAATTGTTAAAAAGTAAATAGAATAAAAAATTTGATTTATATGTTTTTATATTATATTAAATGCATTAATTCAGTATTTTATTGAAAAGTCAATATCTTTGTTGTTACGATTAGGAATGATCGTTTTGTTACTTGTATTCTATGTTGTTCTTCAATCTACTACGCCGTGTTTATAAATGACAGAAGCGGGAGGGTATATTGAATATAAATTTTTATACTCTCTAATTAAAAACACTGGATTACTCAGTATTGTATCTTATGAAAATTAATAGCATTGCTATGAATGTTTACCATTAGAGCTGAAGCTATTGCATACAAACGTTTGTGTAATTACGCATTTAAACGTATGTAAGTGAATATATTTAAGGATTGACATTTCAACAATACGTGGAAAATGATCTTGCATCTCAAGTTTAACTGACAACAGGAAATTCAATTTGCTTAACACGAAACTAGAGAATGACAACTTACAATTAAGCAGTGTCTATTATTACAGATTCAATTAAAACGTGACATAGAATGAATATTGGTTTGACCTTCCTGTCGTTGATGTATGTTTACAAATGTTGGCCATGAATTGCGATTTTAAGGAATGAATTAACAAAAATGTTGCGTTGGAGGTAAAACTAATTATATTGAAGGATACTGGACTTCCGTTTCGCAATGTTAAAAGTTACAAGTTTAAGATCCAATTTCTTCTAAATTAATTTACTCTTAACACAAAATACCACGAAAACATTAAGTATAATATTTAGCTACATACCATATATAAGTTTATTTCTAATCTATCAAAGTTTAAATAATCCTATTAGAAATTACTTACATTCCATTAATAACAATTAAAATTTGTATTAAATCACCTTTTAACCCAGATAGTAAACAGAATAATTCTGTTTCGTTTAATTAACACAGAACAACGAGTGACGAGATCAATGCTCTAATGATAGACGCAAGTCAACTCAGTCACACAGTGGACGGTTTTGCCGTTTTAGCAAAAAGTCAATTTAAAAAATTTGTTTACATAAGTATATATAATTAGCAATATTTAATATTTATTTATCATACATTTTACAATTATCATATACGTAATCATATTTTACCGAAAAAGTACGATACATAGTTGCTTTTCATTTTAGCCGCGTAAAACAGTAAAATTGGCCACTGTGCGACGAGTTAGACACAATTATCATGGACGGTGCGCGACTCCCTCGCGTTACTTGATAGCGTAATTAGCGTCGTCTAGCCAGTCGGCGTGTGAAACACGCGCCGGTAAATGCGAGCGATCGTATTAATCGTTAACTATCTTGTACAGGCTGCACGGTTCAAGGCTCTTTAAGTCGCCGTAAGGGCGTATAATAGTGACAGTAGTAAAGTTAAAACCACGTCCAATTAATTCCCGGCTCGGTCGGCGACGGGAAACGATTGCGTTCACCGGCCTCCGATATCGCCTCGTCCCCGTAGAAATTAATTTGAAGGTGTACCGGTGGTCGTGTACCACCATTCGAAAGTTTGATGCACGACGTGCTACCAATCGCATCATTCATTCGACTTTCACGTTCCTTTGTTGAAAAGTTTGGACTTACAGTCTAATACTTTCGAGTTAAGAAATAAAGTTCCCGCCAATAATTAATTCTTAAATGCAGGTTATGTGTAACAACTGATTTCGTTCAATAGATTCAACTGGTTTGTTTTATATGTACATCTAATTTTTGAGAATGATACAGATAGAGTAAAGTTGATACAGTAGAATTAACAATTTTTCGATATATACTCAACAAATTAAACGTTCATGAAAATTGATTTTTCTTGATTTTTGTATACCTAAAATTATTAAACAATAATTCATTAATCCTTCATTTTACGATTTTTTTGACAACTGTAGTAACAATTATTACTTTCTTTTTGATCATTTTCTAGTGAAAAAGTAATTATTTGTTATTGTAATTGCAATTTAGTCTGAGGTTTTAATATTTATAACAAGATGACTTTTATCTTCGATTAGCCTTTTAATCTTTGTTTGAATTGATTTTGTTGTGAACTGAGTAACATTTATTTTTACTAAATTCGAAGTATAAGAGAAATTGTTAATTTTATATTCAAAATGAATTGAAAAGTATGAGTTCCCACGAAGGATGTAACAAATTTCTTCGAACCTTAATTTGAAACTATATGAATAAACTTGAATTGGAAAGGGTTGAATAAAGCGAGGGATTCCACAGATGTTCTCGCAGTGTCTCGGATGCTAGAGGTATCAAAAGAGGCGAGGAAACGGCTGGCCGAGGTGCGCTATTAATCTCTGTACCCCAAAATCCCTATTATTATTAAAATTATAGCATGTCGAAGGTTGTCACGCCGCGTTAGGGCTACTATGTTGCGGATAGTATGTCATTATATGGAGGGTGCACGCACGTTGAGAATTGTTTCGCTGCGCGTGTGTGGTCCGTGCAACACCGGGATATTAATACGAGCCAACGGAATGCGCATTTCTTTAAAACCATTTCTTTTTATTCAAATAGTTTTTTTCTATTGGTCGTGGACGTTTTTTTTTGAACGTCTAGATTTTAAGGATTACCTTAGTGACCCATTTCTGTACTGCCAGAAAAAAACCTTCAGATCTTGAATTAAATTCCTTAGGAAAAAAAATGAAGGAATAGATACGTTTGTTAACATAATACTATACTTTTGATAGACGCTTGTTTATTACGCATTAGAAAATTGTTCAATGATAGATAGGAAACAAACTCAGTCAATAAGAGAAGGTATAGTTTCAATATTGGTCGACGAGATTGTATTTTCTATTTGTACTGCCTTCCAAAAAATATAAGAAGAATTTAGTTAATTTTCATAGTAAAATGGAAAATCTATTTAAGCTCAATATATTGTACTTGCCATCGATTTTTGAAGATTCATCTTCAGACATTCATTAGCTACACTCGCGGTTTATAGTCGCAATTTCTAATAAAATATCCAGTTGCTTCCAATATTTCCATCTTACGAGGGATAGATTTGAGAAAAAAGATTATACCAATCGATTAGCAAATTCAATTCGAACATCTCGGTTGTCAAACAGACTCGCCTACCATCTCGTAAAAATCCCGGATCCCTGACACGGTTAGATCCTTGGGGAGAGCCGGATTGCACGTATGCAAACGATACCGCCATTGGTAAACCAGATTATAGAGTTCACGTGTCGTATTATCATAGACAGTGCAATGTCACGAGCTCCTCGTCTCGTGTTTGCACGTTAAAGGCGACTGTAACGGCACGGTATAATAGGGTGATCTATATATTGCCGGATCGATGCATACACTGCAGCTCCGACACAAGTATTCCGTATGCACGTCGGCGAAACGAAATGTGGATGCCACGGCGTGAATCTTGCTTCGCTCGTAATCCTGATCGTAGCTTTCCGATCGGTGTCATTGATTCGTTCCTTTCCTAATAATCGAGTTTCCTTGACCATCTTCAAACACTAATTTCCATTACTATCAATTGATTACGGAAGTTAATATGTTTACAGTTCGTATAATGAAAAGTTTGTAGCTTTAAATTTAATGTAAATCGATTTCCCAAAATAATAGAATTTACAAATAACAAACTTAGTACCTCAACCTTTTTGAGCCTCATAGATCTCATAAACATTACGGTGAAAGATTTACCATTTCCTGAAAAAAAACGAAGTTTATAGTTACTACTGTGAAATTTCTCAACCGTTGCCTCTTTGAGAAGACAAAGTTGTTAAGATTCAACTTTTCTTGTTTCAAGACATTAATATTAAAGAATAAAATTTCACATTACAAATTCTAGCTTGAATAATTATAGACTATTTACAATTATAACACGTTTTAAATTACCCGGTTTCCAGCAGCTACAAAATTCATGCAAGTGACGCTCACGGTCGGTCGTATCGCGTTTCCCGCAAAATCGTTTGCGTAATTCAGCGTCCGCGAAACATTTAGCGTCTATTGCGTCGCGTTTCGTGCGTCCTCTACCAAAAACGTCCCGCCATTTTTCATCCGGGTCCGTTCTCCGGTAGCTGGCGGACTTTGACAAATGCGGAGGCCAGGTCGATCGCGACGGTGCTCTTATCCGCCGAAACGTATCCGTCCCGTAAGATTAACCCAATTCTATCTTCCCACGAGTCGCGAGCATTGCTTCGTTCGTGTGTTACGACGTCGAAAACGCCCCGAGGCGGCTTCGCAAGTAGGATCAGAAGCAACGAGCACGTTGCGCGTGATACTCGCGTTACCTCTCGTCCCTGTTTTGTCTTTCACCGGGAATAACAATCGGGTATCTTTTCCCCGCTACGCGGAATCGTACGTGGCGTTCATTAGACCGGTTTTCCCCGGGAGCACTGATATTTATATGCGAGATAAAGCAATTTAGATGTCCACTTATCCACACTTTTCTCCGTTCGATCGCCAGGTCGTGCTCTTTCTTTTCCTACTTTTCCTCCGGCCTACTGAATTCATTTCGATCGGCCCCGAGATTTCAGGAACTGTGGAATATTCTTTTATCCCGGGGAATAGTCTTGGTAACGATGGTAGTTTTCTGTTTGATTGTGTGATATATCTTTGCACCGCATACACGCATTTTTTTAAAATTAAGATAATAACAAATACTTGAAAGTTGGTATCTTTATAGAATGATCATTGTGCTTTATGATATTCTGATATAACAAGTATTAGCAAAAATTAATTCATTGATCTTTCGAAATCCATCTAGTGTTTTGTTTAATATATTTTCTATTATAGGACATTATAGCTACAATAAGAACTTCGATACCTTTTAGTTTTAAGGTATCCAATGAAAATAGCAATAGAAACTCTATGAGACCATTTTTGTTTTTGGCCCTACAAATTAGATTTTTCTTTTAAATTTCTTCTCGTGTTTGATTTGTCTCGAAGAATTTTCAAGCAGCGAACAAACTGATCGCGAATAGCGACGGTTCTTTGTTCACACGGACACGGTGTTCGTTCTCACTTGCAAATAGATTCACAGGAGTTTACCACACCTGAGCATCCCGCCGCCGAGTAAAGAGAAAGATGTCGATGGATTCGGGCCGTGTTTCGTCGAGGCAGTACGGCGCAACCGGTCGAACCGTCGGGACTGATCAAGATCAAGATCCCTGGCAATCGTTCGAGCCTTATACGTTTCGCTTAGCATACATGTAGATCAGTTCTAGTTAACATATTCGATCTTATTCGGCACGTATATCGATCCGCGAGGTGCTGACACCCGAGTAAGAATTTCAGATTCGATGAATTTTAGATTCGATCCAGACACTAGTTGGTGTACATGAATCTTGATGCGTTCGTTGACTGAACTGCTCGTCCATATAATATCTCTTGCTTTCGCCGACGTTAACGACACGTCGCTCGAAATTGCAGCTGGCTGAACAAATTTATTAAAGCGAGTCACCTATAAATTGAAATAGAAGCTTCTAGAAACATGACGAAGAAATTCAAAATCATTGACTCCTCGCAAATTATGGAACTGCCTTTCAAACATGTAAAGGAAAGTACTACCCAATTTATTGTAATTTTGAAGAAATTAATCGTTTCAAAGAAGATTAGTAGATATCATTTAAATTTAATTACGAATTGAGAGAAATTACGATTCAAGTAAGATTCTATTGGAAGTTGAGAGAATATAATTAATATCGCAATAATTTCAGTGGGAAATGAAAAGGAAGTAATCATACATATAAAAAATTTCTGAAATTTCTAGAGCTCGAGTGTTTATTTTTTAATGATGTAAAATGGTGATTCCTCTTAAATGGAATATAGAGTTCTGAATTTTATTAAATACAGCAGATTATTTAGTAATAATTAACAATTTCGAAAGATCGGAATTTACTACGTATTTCTCACCTACTTCTCCGTAACCTTCGAAGAGCAATACAAGAAGAAAATTGTGAAAGAAACCAAGGATTGAGATCAAAGTTGAAGAATGCCGAGAATTTCCTGTCATTTGTGCCGCTGTTAGTTTTTGTTGTTTCCTTCGTCGTAAGTGAAATACCAAAGTTCTACTTTTTCCGATCTCTCGGTCGAGCAGTCGTCGTGGGAATAGGAAATGCTCCAATTCAACCGCATACACAATTCGAAACCACTTACTTGTTGCTTAACCGCTCATCTTATAATATTGTGTCAGACTATTGAAGAAAACTTCGAACAGAGTTTTCAGAAAGAAAATGCAATTGTCATTATATTCAATTGAGTTTAAATTAAATATTATTTTTCTATTATCAATTTGTTAATAATTAAAGTATATGTACACACAGGGCAAACATAACATTTTTTTTCTAGGAAATTAAAGATCGTTCGTATAAAAGGTTGTAAGTGCCAACATCAAATTTTTCAAGACAAAGAAAGAAATTACCTAACATTACATCGAGCGTTATGTCATAATGATGTCATTTTTCAATATTATGAGTACCATAAATGATTTATAAGAGGAAAATCGCATTTAAATTATATACTACACGATAAGGACAGAAAATGAACATTTTTCAGATTTGGTACTTATAGTGTTTTCTACAAGAATTCTTGAATTATGGAAGATAAAATGATTTTAGGGAATTGTAATAAATTCTTTTATGATTTGTCATGACAAAAATCATAGGAAATGGGATTGCTCACTTACATTACCAGACGAAGCGTTGATTTGCCCCGTGCCAAGCCAACGATACCGCACACGCGTGCTCGACACATCGGGATTTAAATTCTCACAAGGAAGACCACTTTCTCCGCGCCGTTGCATTTCCGCGCGACCGACGTGATTTCAATTTATATTTTTACTTTCGCTCGATCCGATTTCGGTGAATCTGTTTTGCACTTCGTCGTTCGCATTCAAAACCGCGGTAACCGTGCACGATCTCTCGTACACGTCACTAATGAACGCCGTCTGCGATTCGTTTGAATCGTTTAAAGTAAATTAAAACGGGAAAAGAATTCTACAAATGACTGAACATGCTCAAATTTACAAGCCCCGAGTTTGGGAACTGGAAAATCGAAACCTGAATGCGATCATTATCGTGTAACACTTGCTGGTGTATGAAATCGAACGAATAATCATCTGCTTACAAAGGAGAAACGAAAGCACTTTCATGAATAATATTTATTAGAAATCATTGGAATGCTCTCAAATTATTGTCATTTTAATGAAAGGGTGTGTCTGAATCTTTCCCCTTGTTAATTGGAACACAAAGATTATAATTATTTGGTGAAATACGCAAATTACATACCTGTACGTTACGCTATTGAAATTTACTATATAATATTGAATTCAAAATGACAACAGTGCTGCTCAACCTGCTGTTTGGTTTGTCTGACAATGCACATAGAGAAGCGCACATTATTACATAATCGGATAGTTTATAAATAAAGTCACTATATGTTTAAAATCAGAGATCAAATCTAATTAAAACGAACAATTCATTGTTTCATATTATGTATTTAAAAATTAAGAAAACGTTATAAGAAACACAGAAAATGCGTTATCTACGGAAAATTCAAACATACTGTTTAACACTGTAACTACCGGACGGGTCAAAGTGACCCATTCCTGATTTCTTCTTTCTACAATTATTAAAAAGCTAACACATGTTTCTCTGAGAAATTATTATAGAAATTGATTCAGTAACACGCAAGCTGAATTGTAAATCAATTAAAGTCTCAAAGTTTTCGAATTTCAAAAAGTTAATTTAACTGCTCGGCAACTTTAGTGTTAAAGAATATTTAGTTTCTTATCTATCATACACAAGATATTGTTTTCAATACAACTGGATATACATACGATGCCGCTTTGGGAGCGCAGGGTAGCGCAGGTCGGCACGGATTCGGGGATCACGCACACCGGAATGAAGGGTTCCGGGCCAGGCTACTTCGGTGCTGACGTCTCAATGCAGCCACTGGGAGGACCACCCAGTCGCAATACTTCCTGCGACTGCCCAAACCTGAATTCCCTGGAGAAGGACCAAGCGGAGGGCGTGCGCGGGAGAGAGATGAAAAGAAGTCGACCGGACGGCAGCGAGAAAGAGACGATGAAACGGATCGCAGCGCAACAGGACGCGGCGAAGGAGAAACCGACTCGGCGGTGGCGCACCCGCGAGGGAGAAAAGGAACAGTGGGAAACGGGAGGTGGACGCTAAGCGGCCAGTGAGATACGATCGCACTCGAAATTTACTCATTCGGCCGTAATTGCCTTTCGGGATGCGCACGTACGACAGGTAGAAGAGGTACACTGGGCACCACCTGCGCTCACGCGATCCACTTTCGAAAACAGCGCCATAATACACCGGGGCCCGGATTGTCAACGAGGAGGATAAATGAAAGTCGGATGCCGGTTAATGAGTCCGATGCCTCGCGTTCCCTTTTCGCCAAACCATCGCAACGATTGCGTTACCGTCGTTTCGGGGCAACGGACCGCTGATGTCATTTATTACCGGGCTTCTGTTTACTACTGTTACGTACGACAGTTTTTTCGGATTCGATCGTGTTTGTTTTCTCGGTATTACTGTGGTTTGTTGGTGTGACTTCATTTGGATGTGTTCTCTGTGGATTGAAAAATAGGTACTGAAATTGTTATCGATGCTGGTGTTCATTCTTTTTAGGGAGTAATTCAAGCAGTATCGAGGTTTTGTGATTTTCTGTTGAAATTCAGGGTGGATTGATTTTCTTGCGAGTTTTACTGTGTCTTCTGGTCGTGATTAAATTGTGGTCCGTTGAATTTTCATAGTTACGGAGAAACATTTCGAAAGTCACCAGAAGGTCACGCCTAGGAAATTGAGCCCGGTGTCAGTCACAGCTACGATTAAAACGCTTAAAACTGTGATTGATTCATTAATCCCTAATTAAAAGGAGATTCATAAAACGTAAAACAACCTTAGGCTATATTTGTGACAGCTATCAGAATCCCATGGGCGTTGCATTTGGCGATAAATAATATTACATAGCAAGAGTATTCCTATAATGAATGCAAGAATATAAATTGATTCAATCGGCAAAAAAAGGAGAAATCCAGAAAGTTGCCCGAAAAAAGTGTCTAGACGAGAAGACCCCTTTAATTCCGCTACTTTGTCCGAGCTAACTAGTCCCGAGAAATCCTCCGTCGCTATATCAACAAACAGAGTGTTCGCCGTAATTATTAACACTCCGGTCCTACGAGAACCCATCGCGTTTATAACACACGGATTATCTACAGCAGAGTTCCCCGCGCCGTCTTGAATTTGTCAATGAATAAAAGCTTATGTTAATCACTGCGACGAGACGCCCGGCCATCGGCCGGGATATTTCACGGGATTAATATGGATACGGACACACGGTGTTTCGAGAGGCGCTCGGCCGACCGGGGGCTCCGTTTTAAATCCATAGAATCGAATTATAGCATTCCAGCGTGTTTAATTCGGCCCTCGAAACGGCCGAGTGATTTATAATCCGGCGGCGTCAGACGATCTGACGATCGGTGACGGTATTCCGGGAACGCGGATCGCCGCGCTATGAGATATTCGCTTCCCAAATGCGGTAACAGGTCTCTTTTCATAAACATCCCTGAAAACGAAGAAAAGTATATGCATGGTTAAATAAACATTTGGGCCACAATATAGTATGATTTGTTCTCATATTTGTTAATTATTAATTCGATTATACAGCTTTAAAGAAGGCAATCTCGAGAAAATTAGAAAATAGTATGTATGTATTTGAATGTATTTGTGTGACGCGAGCAATGTTAAATAAAAATTGTTGCAGCTACTACAGTTAGGAATAGGTAGGCTGGAATAGATAATGTCGATTTCTATATTAACGGAGAAGTACATTGTCTTGCAAGAAATATAGTGCGTTATTTACAAGTTTTTTAATTGAAATTTAATATCGTTTTAACGAAAATGAGGTAATATAGGTAAAGGACGCAAGAAAAATACAGAAATGATTCTCTCATTTGAGAAACAATCATATAATCGGTTCGAAGTTTTTGAAATAAGTTAATCAACCTATCATAAGAAACCGAAATACTTCAGAAATCCGTGAAAATGTAGGTGGGCCAATGGATTTGGGTGTATCCAGCTAGAGAATGATTAAGGTTTTCGTAGGTCCA